CGGGATTCGAACCCGTGACCTCCGCGATACCGGTGCGATGCTCTACCAACTGAGCTATGAAGCCACACATTGGGAGCGAGGTCAATTAATTGAGTTCATATCTTCCCGTGAGGAGTGAAATGATGTGAAGTTTATATGAAATAATTCATATATGAACGCTGACTTTATTAGACGAAACATTTACCGACCTACTGAAGCTGACGCTACGAACAGGAACCCTTCACCTGTTACTACAGTGACTATACCTGACATTAAGGGCACTTCTGAGACCATCTCACGGATCCTACAGCCCTACAACATTCGTGTAGCCCACAAACCTACAACTACGTTACGACACTTACCATTTATAACTGACCAAAAGTAATATTTTTACTGATAACTGAGATACTACGGGCACTCTCACTGGTCGATAGGTGTGTTAAGCAGCCTGGTTTAGATGAGAGTATCATGAGAGTAAACACTCACACTACTGTACATGCATTGAAAACATAATTAGGGCAAACTGTTGTCACTCACGGTATTTTGTTTCTCACGCTTGGAAACTCTTCCTCTTATATGCCTACGGCAACCATCATCAAACCATAATCAGTATTGTAACCTTTTTAAAATGTACTCGGCTTAGACTTGGGCAAACATCAAACTTTGGAGTCTATATATTGAAAGCATAGAATTCTTCTGTCTATAATTCTTCCCGAAGGTTGACCTTCTTTTCGAAATATACGTGATGCCGACAGAGGTTGTCATTCCTACAAAAGGAAGATGGCTATACACTCAAACTCTTTAAGGGTTGTTACCCATAGGGAGCATGAAAATAAAAGACAGACTAGCTAGGAGGCCAGAAAAATGATAATGCTTAATAATGGTGTAACATGAAAGTTAGTAGTAACTACGTATTAAAAATTATAATAAGGAACCGACCTCTCAAACCTTTTGTAGGAGAACTGAGATGCAATCGCAAGTAGGCGAGTCATATGGTCCATATTTAATTAAATAAAATAACGGTAATTTTGGAATCAGTCAGACATAACCATGCGCCGGTTAACTGTTAAAAAGAAGAAAGGTGCTGGCAGCTTAAAAAAAATAAGGAGCGGAGCTGCGCGCTGTCAGCTGATTCACCCATACCTACTTTAGCTTCTTCACTGGATTGGTTGATGAGGGTTTTTATAACCATTTCTTTATTATTATGGACGTCTGACTACTACGACTAAGATTTGACAATTTTGTTTATTTGAGCAGCTAATCCGTACTAATAACTTAAGATTAAAGATTAAATCGTACAAACATCGACATTAGGCTGTAATCCCCGTGTGAAATCAAGAATTATGAACCCGCTAGGCGAGTGAAATATTTAGAGTTATTACACCGTGCGTGGCATCCACGCCGTGGAATAATGGAATTCGCTGAAAATATAACGGTGTCGCGATCTGAGTGCAATAAAGTATTTCGATTATTTGATTTCTTAGCAGTCGTGTCCAGAAGTACAATTTCTCACTGGGTAAAAAGTAGCAGCAAGCAGTAACAAAACCGTTCTTATTCCAAATGGCCAGGCTGAGTAATAACTCGATGCACGAACCTTGAAATCTTGAGATTTTCTCGTAATTGAGTTCAGTTCACGTTAGTTGTCAGTCAGTTGCATATAATTGCAATTGCAAGGCACTAATTATTAATTGGGTGAGGTCACGCGCTTAACTCACCACATGTAGTTTGCAAGGACCTGAATTGTCTGATACACACTGTAGCAAGGAAAGGAAAGGAAAGGAAAGCGCCGTTACTCAATTTGCGGCACCACGATGCGCAGGAGAAACTATAATAATTATATCTTAATGACACAACTTACATTAGTAAAAGTCGTTTTGCAAACCTTCAACATCAAAGTTTGGCTCCTTTCCTTCGCATTTCCAGTCACAGACACTTACCTTGGTCGTTTAACACACCTTCACTCGCCAGCAAACATGAAATTAATCAAAAGTAAATTCTAATTATCAACCACAAACATATCATTAGGCAGTTGAATGAATAAAACAAACAATGGCTTTGTTAGTGCGTTAACGTTGATCATGTTCAAATAACGGATCTTTCTTACTTGGACAAAACAATGGATGGATTTGTTGAAGTCCCTAAGGATCGCCGAGAAGCCGTTATACAATTATGTACTCGTTTTTGTCATGCGCGCTGGAGGATTATAATTTGGAAAAGTTGGTCAGTTTAGGCCCGGTTCAAAGGTCGCGCTATATCGTCATGTGGTACTTGTATCTCTCAGCATTTTTTAAAAAAAAAGAAAGAAAGAAAGAAAGAAAGAAAGAGAGAGAGAAAAGAAAAGACCATCAACTCTTTGTATTCCAGGNTGCCCATTCCTCCTCTCCCCTCCCCCGGGGCTAACCCCCGGGCATCAGCATTTTTAAAAAAAAAATTGGCAAATTTTCCGTGGTGGGGACACATAAGCTGTCTAAATGCCCCGGGGTGGGAACGAGTAACGGCAGCAGCCATAATCGATTATGGCTCCTGGTAACGGCTATTAATATCAGAATCAGATACCAAAATATCCGCTCTTGACCTATTGCTGTTAATTTTCAAATGTTTAGTTCTGCCAGGTTGTGATCAATGTTAGAATAAATGGAAGCTATGTTTTAAATTATGGAGCAGTGGAAAGCGATCTCTGACAAGATGCACTTGACGTCAATGCGCTTTAGACACTTTGCATACCTGGCTTATCACGCTTCTTTCTGGTGCGATCATGCGAGCACCTTATAAAACTACAACTGAAATTCAACTCCAGCAGCACTGTGAATGACAAGAAACTTTTACTTTGCTCCGTAGAGTAATCTTGCGCACGCGCAGTGGCAGATCTAGGGAAGGGGCCCCCTTATTATGGGTAAAAAAGGAAGAAATCACAGAAGGAAGAAAAGCCGGCAGGGCAAGCAAAACAAAACCAACCCCCCTCCCCCCGTTAGCTGAAGGTCTGGATCCGAGAAGGGCATAACGTTGGCTCGAGAAGGGGTGCTCTCAAGTCATGCTGCAGTCCCAAGCTCAGTTCGTACGTACGCGTTCTTCCTGATAATGTTGGCTCGAGGAGGGGTGCACTTCAGTCATGCTGCAGTCCCAAGCTCAGTTCGTACGTACGCGTTCTTCTTGATAGCGTTGGCTCGAGGAGGGGTGCACTCCAGTCATGCTGCCGTCCCAAGCTCAGTTCGTACGTACGCGTTCTTCCCTGATAACGTTGGTTCGAGGAGGCGTGATTGCTACTTTTAGGAAACCATTATAAAATGATTTGAAGCTAATTAGATATGCGACTCGTTTACCACTAAAAAGCTTCCCTTTATCTTCTGTAAGTTCTCTGATGAATTATTTATGTGAAGAAACAGTCGCTGCCCTCGGCTCAAAAAGTGGAGAAGTGGGGAAGCTGTTCATAACAGCGCAGAAATTGGGTAAGAAGGAATTGTTCCGTTCGACGTATTACGTAGCTTATCAGAAGCAAACCATAATACTCTGAATAAATGCTTTGAAAAGCTTAAATATTTTTGTGGCTACTAAAAGTTATTATATGGGTTTAGATGGGCATTGGCTCATGGGGTAAGTCTCTGCAGTTACCATGTACTAATTAGGGAAAAGTTTGACCCAATATATGGTCTAAGCTCTCGTAAACGACCACCTCCAGTAAGGGACTACCTAGGCTTGACATTAAATTTTTGGGTGGTCGCTTACGGGAGGTTCGACTGTATAACAGTCCATTGTTGTTAATTACACAAGCCGTGCCGAGAACGAAAAGACGGAAACGGTGAACAAATAAAACAGGCGGAATTCGCCGATAATTATTTTGACCATTTCGCGCCATTCACGCCTAATGTCGTTCCCAGATCTCTTCTTTAGCACAAGAGCATAGCGTGTTTCAAACCAAGATGGCGGATTGGAACGTGTGATTCGCCTTGTTCTTCGAAGGCTTTTTCTCCCACGATTTGCGTATTTATGCCATTTTCCCCAAATCTCCAAGCCAACAAGCGTATCTTAGACCAGGTATGTATACGTAGTAAAGAGTTTCAAAGCCGAATTCCTTTCCTGAGTTTGCCGTTTAAATAAGTCAGTGAAAGCTAGGTAGTATTAGACAGCGGCGGACAGAGTAGCAGTTGGTTTCTCTGTTTCCCCGAGCAGTTCAATGTTGGAGAAATCAATTGCCCGCAGGTTAGTAAGAGGTTGCACGCTACCGTAATATTTCTTCTAAAAGTCCTAATTTCGAATTCTTTGTGGATAGATCGACTTTTGTTTGTTGCTTGTCTGATGACAACTGGTAACCCATTGGCACGAGTGATTTCAAGCAAATCTCTCGTGCCTAATGTAGCGAAATATAAGAAGACTGAAGCTCTATGGAAGACCCACTGTTCTAAAACGAAGAGCCACTTGTTTTAAACGAAGACCTCACTAGTCTATCTTAAACGAACAGAAGTGTAGCAAAACGAAGACCGACTAATCTACATCCATGTACATGTAAAACGAAGACCCTCTGAAGCAGAAGATAAGTTTGGCATCAGATGTGATAATACTTGATTTTTTTTAAAAATTAAACCTTTGTTATGTCAGTGATACTTTCCAAAACAGATTGTTATTTTTTTTCAAGTCTTTGGGGAGCTCAAAATTATTTCCGAAAACATCACCATAACATGCTTGACTTGGAGATACATGTGCGAGTGATCATGTACTTTCAATTGCAAAATTAAATTTTGGCGGGAGATTATCATATGATGATTAAATTTGTTATGCATGAGTTGCCTTTGGTGCCTTAAATAGACTGTACATTTGAAACGGTTCAAGCATTTGGTCAAAATGGAGAAATCGATGTAATTCGATCAACATGCATTTAAAGAATGGACTATTGATGCCAATAATGAAATCAAATTTGACATTACAGCATTCATTATTTATACTTTAGCAACAAGATTGCATTACACAATTTCACACACGCTGTGCTACATGATGAGATTGCTGTCAAAATCCTTGCATGCTCATTGGCTAATTTTCACTATCAATAATAGCACACAGACGGATCCCATATTACATTTATTCAAAGAGGAGAGCAATGCGGCAACCTCAGGGCTTTCAACTTCAGTTTTGTAGATGTCACTGACTGGGAAAAGACCTAAAATAATTGTCACATCTAATGCTGATCTAGGGCTACATGTATGCTCAAGAAGTGCCTGGGTGCCACAGGCAACTAACTTTTGCCTTTGGGTGACTGGAAAAACTTATTTTTTTCATATAAGCTTAAGTGCTGGGCATCCAGGATTTCATGGTGAGGAACCTTTGGGCTCCTTGTAATTTTTCTTAGACCACAGCCTTGCTGAACTTATCTTCTACTCCAAAGGAACTTTTTTTTTTACATTTTGCATGACCGTGCCATACATGCATTTTAGGTCATTATGCTGTTAGTGTCAGCCAAACCCAGGGCTGTCGTAAAGTTTCGAGTCACCTGTAGCCTTGATCTTTACACCTGTAACAAACTTGTTACTTTATTGGTGAATTGTATCCACTATGTACAGGCAATTTTACCTGTAATATCTAGGGCTTACCAAGCATACTGAGGGGCAACAGGTGCAGTTACAGATTATGGCCCTTAATGACTGCCCTGTAAACCTATTACCGGTACATGTAAGTATCTGCTTAATGGGACATGTCCACCCACAGACCTGTATGAGATTTGTGGACTTGGAAAGACAAAACAATGAGTAGTATTAACAAGTCGGGCAAGATCTTGGTTGGTTCTTGTTTTGATTTATACATTTACCATGAAATGTTTAGCAAATGCATTATTTAGGGATTAGAAACTCAATACAGTACCTGCATATTTTATATTATTGTTCCTTTTTTGCTAGTTTTAAGAAACTGTTGGCTGTATCACCCTTGAACATTCAAGATGGCAAAAACCTTGGATATTGAGATTTTTAAGGTTTGTTCTTAATGTGCAGTGTATATTGTTGGTTCACTGAGTTTCAAACTCAGGAGTTATAACATGTGTAATGCTTGCTGCACAGTTTAGTCCTCAGTCTGCATTTTACACTGACTGTTTTGGGCTAGCTTCATAAGGAATCGAAAAGCCTGGATTTTGCTTTTGGCGTGAACAAACATGTCACCAGAATAACAAGCTTCCTGTTGCCAGCAAAATTTTAACTATGACCGGGAAGAATTAGATTTTGGCCTGCTCTTAGCAATATCCACACAAGACATGGAGCAGATCAGAGTGAAACTTTTTTAAGTTGTCATCCTGGAGCGTCTCTGTTGCTTAAGTTTCATTTTCAATCAAAAATTATGTTCTCGTTCAAGTCCCTCCATGCCTACTTGACATTGTCGTCGTTTCTTGTTATGGTTGCTTAAGCTCCCTGATGGCAATCAGTTTGTAAAAACTTGTTTTCCCAATACCTCTTGTAAGTATAATCTTCTTAAATTGTATTTAATCTTTGCAATATTTTTGTACAGGTAATAAATGCTGGGAATTTTTGGGCTCATCCCATTGCCAGCCCTGGCAGTGAATTCCAAGACTTCATGGGAAAGCTGAATGATCATTTTAGAAAAAGCACATCACAAGCTGTTCCTCAACTAGTGAAGGGTCAGGTCAGTACATCAACAACATCAACAGTTACAGCAACGTTTACCTGTATGGATACAGTAGTTACATTTTATAGACAGAAAATAAAGTATTGAATTAAGTAGAGTACTGGCTGCTTGGAATAACCATAGGCCTAGGGGCTTGCAGAACCAGGCAGCTACAATGAAATTAAAGGTGTTATTAGTATAGATAGATAAACTGGAATAAAATATTAAACACAATCCATTGATGACAGCCTCTAGTGGGACACAAGAGACATGAGCAGATACAAAGGGGAGTGGATTGGCTGGCTAGCCACCACCCCCCCTCTCCTCCCCCTTTTTGGAGAAGCAAAAAAGAAATGAAAAAGACATAATTTATGTACATGTAGTGAATATTATGGCAGACATTTAGGCAAACCCTGTGGACAGGTACCTCATTGTAATTACATTTCTAGTACTTCTGGTGTACATTGTAACAGTTTTCAATTAGGGTTCCAAATCTCAAATTGTAACATTCTGGGTACATCTGCCATTGATTCTGCAACCTCAAGGTACCAGCCAACCCCCTTTAAAAAATCCTGGATCCACCCCTGAGAAAAAGTGAATACAGTTGCAGATTGTGTATTTTTAATTATTTTTTTTCTCTTTCTATTTAATATGTAGATGTGTGTTGTAAGGAGAACGTCTGACAGTTGCTGGTACAGGGCAAGAGTGCAAAGTGTGCTACAGACATTAAGTGGACCACAGGCTAGGTACAGTAATATTATTTTGTTGAAATAACACAATTCTCTTCGTAGAAGCAATTCTCTTCATTGTACTAAAAGATTCCTCCCTACTTTGTGGTACCTCTGGCATGTGCAAAATGTGTGATATTTTGCTTTTACATGCACATGTAAGTGAAAGTACACTGTACTTCTAGCAGTACAGTCGCAAGTGTAGATTAATATGCTGTTACTTGTATTTTATTTATTTATTTATTTATTTATTTATTTATTTATTTATTTATTTATAATTTTAAATTGTTTAATTTTGTTTTGGTTTTTTTAAATTTTTTTTTTTGCAGTGTGTTCCTTGTGGATTTAGCTGAAAGTACCCTGGTTCCATGCTGCTGGTAAGGAACATCTTCAAGCTCGCTACCAAGTTTTATAAATTAAAAAAAAATAAGCTTAAGGTTAGAGATTTTGCTGTATCGCAGTCTGACAATTCTTGGCTTTATTATCTTAATTAACAGAACAATCTCCAACTGAAATAGTAGTGGGACATATTCAGTTATTTGAAGAAGCAGTAATTATGACCTGTGGAGGGGGGGATGAACTTGAATACCTCGAGGAAAGCCCTTAAAACATTATAGCATGAACAAACTGCCCACAAACTTGACCCATAAAATCTGAGCTGCTTTAGTAGAGTCACAAGAATGTGCACCCAACTCTGCCACTCCTACACCTTCATAATCTACTAACATCTACAAACATGTCATTCTCTTTTCCAGGATCAGGGAAGTGCCAGCAATGTTCCAAAACATTCCTGTTCAAGCCATGGAGTGTTACTTGACTGGGCTTAAACCCCTTAGCCTTGTCACATCTTACTTTGACCTGACCACCTCTAAACAGTGAGTATCCGTTCTTTGTCAACTTTTGCATTGCACTTGAAATTAAATTTCCTTTGGTGTATTATTTTTAACATTTAAATAAATACATGTATTTAAGAAATTGAAAACACGTTCTGTGTTTCTATTGAGTTATAGTAGCATGAGTGGAAATTTTGGGAGAATGGGAAACGCTGTGAGAACATGAGGCAACAGGCAAGTGTTTCCACAGCTTTTTTGAGTTCTCCCAAACTTTCACGTAATAAAAAAATTATATCAAACACAAAAGACCTTGTTTGACCACATTTCGAAACACCAAGAAGAGAGTTGAAAATACAATGCACAGACGCACAGCGGAGTATTTTTTGACAAACTTTGAGGTGTTTGGAATTGTGGTCAAACACTGAGTGTTTGTTGTAATATATCAAACACAAGAGACAGTGTTTCATTGGGATATCCAAACACCGAGAAGAGAATTGAAAATACAACTTGGAGCAGAGTATTTTGACGAAATTCGAGGTGTTTGGATCGCTGATGAAGCACTGTCTCGAGTGTTTGATATAACTTCTCAATCGAAACAAAAACTAAGGAGTAAACAAAGAAGTAAAATTGTCAAAACCTGTGCTAAGACTAGGTATCCAGACGTTCTTCACGGTTGTGATTTTCTTTCTTTTAACTTGATGAAGTATTAATGAGTTTGAGAAATAATTATCTTATCAACCAAAACTAAAACTGAGGAGAAAATGGAGAAATAAAATTGTTAAAATCTACACTAATTAAGATCAGATATCTAAACACCATCACGGTAAGCACACGCTTTCTTACAAGGTGTTTTTTAAATATGTACATTGTACTCCTCTCTTCTTCTGTAGAACAGGTAGAACCATGAATGAACAAGAAGGTTACAGTTTTAAAAGTAACATTAATGTTTTGCAGAGTAGCTGATCACTGGGATGAATCTGCCACTAACTTGTTTAAAACTCTCATACAAGGTACGAAACATACAGTGTAGCTTTACACAACTTATACATTGTGTAGGTTTTACAAATTAAACTGTTGTGTTACACATGCTTGCAATGCACCATCAATTAACTCACAATACATCTCATATAGTGTTTAATGACAAGTTTTAAAAAGCTCTAAAATGTATTTCAGGATGCAAGCTTCAAGTTTCCGTTCATAGACAAGATGAAAAAGGAAAATATCATGTACTCCTACTCGCTGACACAGGACGTGCTCAGGTAAAGGCAATCATCAGAGGAAAGTCTTTGATTGCTCCCTACAGGAAGTTATACATGTAAATTATAGGCTATCAAGGAATCAGGGAATGAGAAATTACATTTATAAAGGAAATTATCTACTGCATGTACATGCAGTTTATTCTGATTTGATAGAGCGGTTTTCAGATGAGTGTCATGAAACCAAAACTAAAGTAATCATTCTGGTCAATCACAAAGGACACAGACAATACAACAGTGACCCAATCAAATCATAATTGTACAGCGTTGAATCTGAATACATTGTCAATTGAGCGAGTCATTAGAGCCATCGACATGATTATATCAATATTCCTTTAGATTTGCATCAATGATGAATTGGTGATCAAAGGATTTGCAACGTACTTCTCAGATACTGAACCAGTTTCAGAAATCAGCCCAGCCAAAGCTGCAAAACTCAAAGCAATGAATGACAAATTCCAGAAGGAAGGGGTAGAAATGCTGCAAAACCTGAGAGAGTATGTCAAACATGGCAAGTTTACAGGCAGCGAGGAATCAAACAGCACAGATGACGAGCTGATGGATCATAGAAATAATCACAGATTTTCGCGAGCAAGGGAATCCCCCCTCGATGTTCTTAGACGTCAGGCTTCTGACCGCAGTTCAAATCAGAAAGAAACTGGCGCTCATTGTGAGCCTTCGGCAAGAATTCCTAAAAGTGCAACTCAAAGCTTTCCATCTCAACAGTTCTCGCCACGACAGTCATTTGTTGAGGGTGCATCTAGTGGTGGGTCCACAGAGAAAGAAAAAATTGATATATCAAGAATGCCTACAGTGTTGTCATCAAGTGATGAAAATTCTGGAAGAGTCAGGTTTCTCTCGTCAAGGCTCCCTGCAACAGGTAGTGGTATGAGTCCAGGGTTTCTGGCAATGCCATCAAAATCACCCAATTCAACTAACTTGAAGCCGATTCTTAAGAAGAGAAGTCCTCATGGCATTCGTCAAGGTAGTGGCTCATCTAGTGAGACAGATGACTTGTTTCAGAGGAAACACTTGCAATTGGACAGAGATGATTCAGGTGTTTCTTGCAGTGAAATACCTGAATCAGGTAACAGTGCTAATGGAGACATTTCTTCAAGAAAGGAACCTTTGCCCTCTTCTAATTCAATAGCTGTAGATGCACTGTTTGGTCATCACAGAGCAACTGTTTTAGAAAATGCTAAATGTGCAAGAAAATCAGAGTTAACTGAGCCATTGACTCAAGGTGATAATTTGCCAATTAAAGATGAGAGAAGTCCTGAGAAAATACTATCAAAAATAGAGTCTCTGTTAGAAACTAGCAGAAGCAGTTATGAGTCTGCTTCAGACAGAACTTGTGCAACCCCATCAGCTAATCTATCTTCTGGAATTGTGCCTGACCATGATCAACTTCCAGCACAATCTGTAGCAAATAAAGGAATTGACCAAAATTGTATTGAAAAATCTCTACACAAGTCGCAGTTGTTGCCGACTTCCTCTCTCAAGTCTCCTCTTCCTTCAGAAATGCTTTTATCATCCAAGTCTTCAAGTTCACCCTTACAGCCCACCAGTGGAACAAAGCTGTTGTTTTCAGAAGGTGTTGTTATCCGCACTGAGGGTGCACCCGCTCCTAAGCCAATTACTCTTTTGGAACATTGTCCATTTGCTCATTTCTTGCCTCGGCTAGGTGTAATGCAACCAAGCTTGATTCAGCAACATGCTTGGCCAGCTCTTTTGCGGGGTCGCGATGTTGTGGGCATTTGCACTGCAAATGTAGGACAAATACATGCCTACTTGCTCCCTATTATCTATCAATTAGTGGAGGAAAGGGAATTATATGCAGATCTGCCAAAGATGACAAGTGGGGTAAGTAAAGTGTTGTTGTTTTTTAACCTTTTTAAGTTTATCGGTTGTTTACTTTACACTAGAGGTTATTGAGCTACATTAGTACATGTACAATGTTGGACACTTACAGTTACATTGTAAATGTAACATGTGCACTTACATGCAGTTTATTGATAGGTAGCTGAAATTCTGCTTTTGGCCTCGTCAGCTATCACCTCATAGAACCTCGAGCTCATAAACTAATTGCTAAGTAGAAGACTACAACAAACCAATGCCATCAATAATTCTTGGCTAACTGCAGTTTGTACTCTGACTGATAAACAATAACCTTGGACAAAGTCAGTGTAATTAATGATGATCATTCTTTCAATGTTTCAGCCTCAGTTTCTTGTCCTTGCTCCAACATGGGGGACAGTAGCTTTCATATACAATCAATGTAAGGACATACTTGCAAGAAACAGGAACATTCGTACACAGATGATATTTGCAGCTGGCGCTGAAGAGAATAAAATTCTTCCAATAGTAAATGGCTGTGAGATTCTGATCGCAACTCCACCTTGTTTCTTGCGCATGCTCAGAAAAAGTTACATCACCCTTGATAGGCTCTGTCACACTGTTTTTCACGATGCTGACATCATGGTGGAGGACTTTACCTCAGAGATTAAAGAAATCATGCGACACTATGCTAGACTTCTGAAATCTCAGCCAAGTCGCTCAGCACCTCGTCAGGCGGTTGTCATGGCATCATCATGGAGTGTAGGTGTCGCATCTTTGGTCAAGGCCTATCTGGGCAACCCTGTGCTAATAATTCCTGACATGATTGAAGCAGCTATATACAGGAGTGTAAAGGAAATTGTGACAATTTGCTCAGAGAGTCAGAGAGATGTTGAGCTTCTTGGTAAGCACATTTTGCCATACAAGTAGTGAATCGTCTATACCTGCTAACTTTTATCGAGACTGCCAACTTTAATCTTTGGCATTGTAAGAGCCTCAAAATAAAAGTTTAATTGGGTAGAAAGACACCAAAGACGTAAAAATGAACAAAACAGGAACAGGGTTGTTTACATGCAAGAAAGGTGATAAACTACTCACAGGCAGCCAAGGTCAAGATCAGCAAGAAATATATTACTTTGTATGGAAATTTTATTTTTACGATCAATTTAGGAGGGTGAGATACTAGAGAACACTTACTTACCGATCGTTAGTACTGTAATCCCATACAAAGTGTAATACACATTTTTTAGTGACTACTATTACAAAAGATGGTCTTCACTCACAGCTTGAACTTGGGTGGCCTGTGCACTGTCTTGAACATTAGTAAGGGTTAACTTTTTAGGATGTGCCTTCCATGACATAGCTTCTTTTAACTAAATTTAACTTATTATTTTGCTTCTATATGCATTTTCTTTTCCATGTCAGGTTGCTTAGACTTGTACATCAGCACAAGAGATATCTGTGTCTTTGCGTCCAAGGCAGCAGAGGCAGAGAATATTGGAAACCTTCTGAAAGCAAATTGCTACTTTGTCCTGGTAGCTCATGAATTTCTAGATCCTCAGCAACTTGCCAGTGTGAAGAGACAGTGGAACACTCCACATACAACTGATTCCTTGCCAGTACTAGGTACGTACACTTCAGAAGTCGTAAAATGTACAATTAAAATTTAATGATTTAATGATTTTTGGGTCCTAGGAACATATGCAGGAAATTCAGAAACACGGGCCCATGAAATCCCTGTTTTCATAGCTGTTGGCACAACAACTTGGGGGAGTGTGGCACGCTCCTGCAGCAATTTAATTCAGTAATTTAATTTAGAAATTATTGCAAATGACAGATTTCAAATTACCCAGGTAAAAGAGGGTGGGGGAGGCAGAACAAAACACACACACATACCATACATAGAACCTTTATTTAAACATGATTACATAACAAAGCTTTCAATTTATGGGGTCGTGTATCAACTCAATGAAACAACACAATGACAAAAGTTCAATGTTTAATTTAACTACAATAAAAGGGAAAGGTTTACATTAAACTAGCAAGTTATACAACACTTGCAAAGGTCTGTAAGAGGCCATATTCGTATTCTCGGTATTGGACTGGAACTAGCTTGGGATGGAGGCTCATGCGGGGAATATCATTAAAAAGAGATTAATGTCATTTGCATTTGAAAAGACCGCCCGCGTTAGCCTCAATTTCAAGCTAGTTCCAGTCTAATACCGAGAATATGAATAATAATTTGGTTGTTTGCACAGCAAAAACGTTAAAATCAAAGTCCTTTATAGTGTAGCTCTTTGCGACGTTTTCCACGAAAGACTTGAATGATGTCTCCTTGGCCAACCTCTTCAACCTCCTAAATCCGTTTATAGTCCTTGAAGGTGTTAATGTTTGAGCAACCAGAGAACACCCAGAAAGTGGCAGTGGGCAAATAACCAAATTATTTTGCGCATGTTGACCTTGTTGGGTGAAATAACAGACTCCCATAGCCATTATATTTTTCTTCTCACTCACACTATTTTATTGAATTCTCACGAATTATGAACAATTATTAATCATTTTAATGATTAAGATTATATAATTAAAATTATTAATGATCAATAATTTTAAGAAATTCATGTCGAACGTGCCTGTAGTGTTGGTGACTTGTTTTCTTATGAGCCAAAATTTTGTCTTCTGTTTTATTTGGCTAACTCCAAATATTTTTTTGATTCAGTGATGACTGATGGAGTCATTAACCAGATGAACATCACAAATGCTTCATGCGTGATACACTTTAACTTTCCTGGCAGCAAGACACAGTGCGGCAGACGGCTTACTACTTTAGCAGGGACATTTACATCTTCTGAGGTAACTTACCGTAAAGTACTATCTAGCTACCGGTATTACGTTATGAGCTCGAGATTTGTATCGCATGATAGTTGACGAGGGCGCAGTGGTACCCAATTATGACGCACAGAAATCAAGAGCGAATAATCTAATCTACCAGTCGTTCAAAACGTATCTAGTAAATTACCTGAAGCCTCTTCAGTAACACTTCCAAAATGCAAAGCAGCAGCCACAATTTTGTTAACAACCGCACACTGCTACAATCATGGACAAACGTCTTGGGACAATTTTGCATTTCTGGCGCTTTTGCACACACGCCAGACGCGAATACAACTTCACCTACCTAACCTCGCCCCCACTCCCCCATACAATGTTGAAAACTAGTACACTGTACCTGCAATTTCACCTGATTTTCAACATTGTGTTGGGTGGGGGGCGGGGTTAGCAACGCGTTTTTAAANGCAATTTCACCTGATTTTCGACATTGTGTTGGGTGGGGAAGGGGGACAGCAACGCGTTTTTAAAGGATATAGCAGCGTTTTTTTCAAACTTCAGTTCTAAAACACAGATAATTCGTTACAGTACATAAGTGTCCAAAGGACTTTTGTCCAGGATTGTAGGCAACTCACTATCTGCAAGAGAATAGATAGTGAGTAGCGTAGCCAATCAGAGAACAGCATTTGTGTTAGAACGCTGTTAGTTTGATTCTATTAAAGAGCTTGACACTAACGATCGCCAACAAGTCACAGGCTACCAAAAATTCAGATTTAGCCAGTGGATTTTTTTACTCGTACTTTGGCTTGTGAAAAAAGCTATTCTTACAGCATGTGACGAAAATCAATCTTGGCATACATCTGTAATCTTCCAAAAACATGGCTGGTGAAAAATGTGGTGAGTTGGTTTTGCTAGTAAAATCAAATTGACGCTGTTGTTGGAACACAGCTGCGTTAAAAAACAATCCTACAGATGCATGATGTTTTGCCTTTAATTTCCTCTAGGAGCATGGCTGTGTGTCTGTGATTTTTGTGACTGATGAAAAAAACATGTTCCACTCCCCCGCCATACGCCAGCTGGTGACGAGATCCGGACAAGAAGTACCACCGCTGCTAGATGCAATGGCTGACCTAGCAATACAGGCAAGTCATCTGAAAGTGTTCCGATTTCTGGCCGGAAGAATTTGTAAAATTCTATTGTAAGACCATCGTTTCCAGGTCAAAAATCAGAACGCTTCTAGCTGATTCGCTAAATTGTACTTATTTTCATGGAGAATTATGAATATCAAATTGGCAAAAGTAACTTATTTAAGTCCATGAAACATAGACGGCTGGCTGCCGATCTTTCTCTCTCACGGTCAGATGAGTGTTTATCCGTGAACACGAACGCTAACGGGCGGTATGGGCGAAAAGGGGTTGGGGCGAGACTTAAGTGCTGCGCCCATGTCTCGCCCCAATCCCTTCTAGTCTGAAACGTCTCGCCTCAGAATCCTGCTTGATTTCGAGGGTAAACCATACTGCCAGTAGTCTCTTTGAACATACATTTACATGTGACTTGAGCAAATTAAACATGGTAGTTACTCTTGTATTCCATATCATTTTGCCAATTTGATAGTTCTTTTAGGTACTTTTACAATATATGTGGCCTTGTTCTTGTTAGTCTTAGAAATATTTGTTTATTTTTTTCTAAGAGGACACGCTAACGAATCCTGCAATGTGATTGGTTCTTAGCGCTGTCCGAATTTTCCTATCTCCACAGTCACGTACGTAGTGCATGCGCGATGTGTTTGTGGAAAGCTCAACAGTTATAAAAGTGATCTGAGAGGGAGGAAAACAAAATAAATAAGTTATTTACAGGCTTAGGGTCGGTCCGTAACGTGAAAAATTGTGACCTCGGACTTGAGAACACTGCCCTTGGCTGAAAGACCTTGGTCACAGTTTTTCACTATACGGACCTCCCAACCGGCAAATAATCAAAACTCCAAGCAAATTGATGCGGCGGGAGCAAAGTGCGGGAAAACGTAGACTGTTCACAGCTTCTCTATCTACGCACGCGAAAGAAAAAGCGAAGGGAGGTGGGTGGGGCCCCCAACCCCTACCCAGTCAAGTCTTCCGTTTTGCGCTGGCGTCCAGTTCTCTCGCGATTCTATCCGCGCGTTCAACGACGGAATAAAAAATACGAGAAAATAGAGAGCTGTAAACAGTCTAGGAAAACGTGGGTCAGCTAGTCCTGAATGTTTTTGTTGTTACTTCCTATTGGATTAGAATGCGAATTATTTTCAACGCTTAACTGAGAACCTCTGTCATTACTAATTAATGTTATAAACGTCTCTTGCTCAGGAAAAAGAAAATACTAGGGATTTGTGTCATTCAGTGAAAGCTTTTGGATCATGCAGGTATTAGATTATTAAAGAAATCTTCTTTACTTTCTCATGATTTTGTTTCTCCAGAGAGTGTTATGAATTACAGCGCTGCTTTAACAAAACATTTCCTCAGTTTAACGAAAACATTCGCGTTGTTTTTAGCCTAAGGAATCGTCGATTGTTAAGTTTCACTCCAAACGTTTCAGAGGCTCCGCGTGCTCAGTTTAATATGTAGAAACTAAAACAAGTTCTGTTCTCTAAGCTATCCGGTGTACCCAAAGGCGACCCATGTTCTTTGTATGGGAATATTTTCAGTCGGATTTCGGAGGTAGAAGTACAAGGAAGCTCTTAATAAAAGAAAATGCTTTTTGTAACTTCCACAATGCATTGCTTGTTGTCTGTGCACTTCTTCTGCTGATTTGAAGCGATTTTAGCGAGTTGCCACTTCCAAGGTTTCCCTACTGAGAATTATCACTTGCTAGATTTCCCAATAGTGAGCAGAAAAACGGCGAAGATCGAAAGCGTGGTCTTAATATTTGCGTGTCGAATTGTTTCATTCAAGTTGTCACATTTTTTATTTGTTGCTCTACTTCCCTTGATAAGAAGGAATATGAGCGAAGACTGAAATCCAGTCACTTTTCAAGCGAAGCAAAATTTTCTAATGATAATCGCATCCATCTTCATTTCTGTTTGAAGTGTCTTCTGAGTCGGTTTGGAAAGCGGACAAAAGAGGGCAAACTGGAGGTCACAAAATACTAACGAATTTGGAAACGCGTTTTTGATCAACGCGTTTCCAAATTCGTTAGTATCAACGTATTGGCTTCTTTTTAACATTGAGGTTAAAACGCGATTAATGGTTCGCATGTCTCTGAGTGGTACTGTTCTCTGCACTCTTTATAAATAGTTAAATTCATATATAAAAGATATTCTTCACGAGCCGAATTGCCCATAAATTAAAATTTGTGTCAATATATTATCTTAACTTCCAGATACAAAAGAGGAACGAGAAATTGTTCGGCAAGGCATTCCGTGTTAGCTGAGCTTGATAAACCAGTTAAAGGAGTTCCTACATCTGGTATAGTTAAGGTGAGATTTAGAGGTTATGTTGCTCGACTAGAAAACCACCATTAGCTTCAGAATATGGTACATGTATGATTTTCATTTGCCAAAAAGGAAAAAGTTGAAATCGATTTTCTTGACTCGCTAGGAATGGGCACTGNAGAAGGAATATGAGCGAAGATTGAAATCCAGTCACTTTTCAAGCGAAGCAAAATTTTCTAATGATAATCGCATCCATCTTCATTTCTGTTTGAAGTGTCTTCGGAGTCGGTTTGGAAAGCGGACAAAAGAGGGTAAACTGGAGGTGACAAAATACTAACGAATTTGGAAACGCGTTTTTGATCAACGCGTTTCCAAATTCGTTAGTATCAACGTAAAACGCGGTTAATGGTTCGCATGTCTCTGAGCGGTACTGTTCTCTGCACTCTTTATGAATAGTTAAATTCATATATAAAAGATATTCTTCACTAGCCGAATTGCCCGTAAATTAAAATTTGTGTCAATATATTATCTTAATTTCCAGATACAAAAGAGGAACGAGAAATTGTTCAGCAAGGCATTCCGTGTTAGCTGAGCTTGATAAACCAGTTAAAGGAGTTCCTACATCTGGTATAGTTAAGGTGAGATTTAGAGGTTATGTTGCTCGACTAGAAAACCACCATTAACTTCAGAATATGGTACATGTATGATTTTCATTTGCCAAAAAGGAAAAAGTTGAAATCGATTTTCTTGACTCGCTAGGAATGGGCACTGATAAATGGACAGGGATGCTGTGGGTAGGGGGTCTGGCAAGGGAAGGGGCCTTATGCCTGCAATGGGCTAGCACCCTATTTTAGAACAATCTTCAAAGTAGTAGCATCTCATCTTCAGAGAGTGGTAATACTCCTTGGCGACCACTTACTTGATTATAAACCATGATAAACCATGACAATAGCCCTGCTTTATCCGTCAGGAACTAGAATTAGTTTAAGTTCATCACTAAATTTGACTCTCCCTGTCTTAAGGGAGCTACGTCACGATTTGCTGATCTTGAAAAGTTTAGCCTAAAGTTTTCAAGTTCGTCGTTTGTAATCCGAGTTAATCTTCTCCATCCTTATCCATCCTTGTTCCTTTATGTTTTAATTTATTTCTTGGGTGGTTTTCTATCTTAGTAAACTATTACTTTCAGGTTCCCTACCATTTAAAGTTAACTTTGTTAGCGGCCAAAATAACCCAAAATGCCATGACTGAGCTCCTTTAAGGATTTAAACAACATTTCTATCTCATTCTAGGTGCTGATTCTCAATGTCATAGATGCATCGTGTTATTGGGTGCGAATCCTGGAGCATAAACCTACAGATGGAAACCAGACGTCTAGTGAAATTGCCGACAGCACTGAGTTCCTGGATCTGACTATGGCTGTGAGTGGATGGTATGCCGACCCAAATCACCGTGTGAAGCAGGAACTGATTGTTGCCGGTGATCTGTGTTGTGTAAAGCTGGAAAACAGCAATTCCTTCCACAGGTATTCAACTAGAATAATGCAAGTACTACACATGCAATCACTCCTGCTGGTTTCTACCTTCGACCCCAGATTGACAGATTTAGGGACAAACCATGGCCTGAGTTGCAATGTTGTGTTTTTAGGCAAATACTCTTAACTCGCATAGTCCTTCTTCTTCACTCAAGAACATAGAAAATGTAAGCGGCCATGGAACAGCATCTCATTCACAAGGAGTAGTGCTCAATTTCAGTTGCCCTCTCGAGTTGTGTTGTCTGCTTTGTTCCTCCCACAGACAGTTTCCAGTTCAGGGGCGTGGCTTCATTTCCCTAACAGTGGCTGGTAATCAAGCGAAGAGTAGTAATGCTCTTAGTTACTCATGCTATTGAAAATGGAATTTAATACCAGTACCAACTGATGATCTATTGATCCGTGTGCTTAATTCTTAAGACAAGGATTGACTTGAAAGTTAAATCACTTGAACATGTTAAATTAAAGCAAATGTCCTAGAAAAGAAAGAAATTTTTAACAAGGTACGAACCACCAGAAAGGTCTGTATCAAATGAGCCAGAAATGGATTTCTTTTTTTTGTTTGGTTTTTAGAGTGAAGGTCTGTAAAGTCACTAAAAGAGATGACTACAGCAAAACACCATCGGAAGTGCTGGTAATAATGATGTTGAAACCATAATTATTGTTAATAATGAAATTAAGAGAATGAAAGTAGCTGACTCAACACGATACGTTTCAGACTTTCATTAGTAAATTCTAAACATTAATCTTGACCTTTCTTTATGTTCTATTCTGTTAGAGCCTGTAGAATACGAAATAGAGAGTTGGGATGCGTTCCCGGGGTGAACTGGATCAGGATCAGTGATCCAAGATCACTCGGATCTTGGTTCATCAAAGGAACCGATGAATCCATGACCAGAGTGGATTCATCGGTTCCTTTGATGCACCATGATCCGAGTGATCTTGGATCACTGATCCTTTTCCAGATCACCCCAAAGGAACGCACTCTTGGTGTAAATGATTGAGACATTTTGAAAGCAAAACAAGGCAGATTACTGTGGCTAGTCACTGTGCGATAAAAGTGGTGTACCTTAAAAGCCACCTTGTTCTTACAGATACCTCACTATTACAATCACCTTGTTATTATGCCCACATTCGTTGGCTCAATGGGAAGCTCAGTCGGTTTCTTTATTTTGGAACCTTTAAAGGAGCCCAGTCACYGTYTTTTAAGTTATTTTGGCCGCGCACAGAATAACCTTTAAYTTATAGGAATCCTGAAAATAATAGTTTACTAACTTGGAAAAACTCCAAAGAGATAATGATGAACCATGAAGGAACAAGAATGGTTAAGGATGGAGGAGATTGACACGGATTGAAAGCGACGAACTTGAAAAATTTAGGCTAAATTGTTGAGGATGCGTAAACCGTGACTTAGCTCCTTTAAGCTTTCAATCTGCTATCCTGTAAACGAACAGAATTTAATAGTCAGGGTCCCACTATACTTAATAACAAAAAATTCTGATTTCAACCCTTTAAAATTATAAGAATCCATCTTAAAACATCCGATACTCCACAATTTGAGGACGTTTTTTTTTTTAAGCCCCCAAAAAATCGTAGGTACCGTTTTGCATTATCATTCTTCCTCTAATTTTCTTATTAACTATAAGTTTCTTTCTTGTTTTAGGTTCATTTTGTCGATAGTGGAGTTACTGAAGAGATACGTAGCGACAGACTTCTTCAGCTCCCTCCTCAATTTCATTCTTGTCCACACCAGGTACGTTCATATTGCTGGCTTTCTTCCGTGCATGATATTCTGTTTGCCCAACTTAGCACGATTAAAAGCATTCCCCAAGTACTGATGTCAAACAAGAACGCTTGATTTTCAGTCTGTTGGCAGTGACCAAGTTCATGATTGAAGAAAAGACACCTTAAATTTCATCATGCAAAATTTAGGAAACGTCCTCATAGCCCCACGTGAAATTACTACACGAAAGCTTTCACTGGGTGTAAATGGTTACAAGCACTTTGAATGCTGTTAGAGGGGGTAAAGCTGCAATGGAGCATTATCCTGGCCAATATGGAGTGGAGATACTCTTAAACGCCGTCCACATTACGCCGCAGGAATTTGAAAACGCAACTTTCTTTCTCCGGTTAGGAATTCCGTCCACAATAGTCTGTCATGAAAACGGAGCTTTTCGAAAGTGCTTTTCAAACCGGAGGAATTTGAAAACGCCGGCTGTGCGTTTTCATGTGGACAGAAAACATTTCGAAAACGAAACTTTTCGAAAACGACGAGGTTCCGAGGATTGTTGCGTTTTCAAATTTTTTCGGTGGACGGAAAACATTTGATGTGTTTTCAGGGTGAAGCCTCCGTTTTCAAACTCCTCCGGCCTAGTGTGGACAGGGCCTTGGGTGTTGATTTTACATAATCNTGCATTATCATTCTTCCTCTAATTTTCTTATTAACTATAAGTTTCTTTCTTGTTTTAGGTTCATTTTGTCGATAGTGGAGTTACTGAAGAGATACGTAGCGACAGACTTCTTCAGCTCCCCCCTCAATTTCAATCTTGTCCACACCAGGTACGTTCATAGTGCTGGCTTTCTTTCGTGCGTGATAGTCTGTTTGCCCAACATAGCACGATTAAAAGCATTCCCCAAGTACTGATGTCAAACAAGAACGCTTGATTTTCATTCTGTTGGCAGTGACCAAGTTCACGATTGAAGAAAAGACACCTTAAATTTCATCATGCAAAATTTAGGAAACGTCCTTATAGCCCCACGTGAAATTACTACACGAAAGCTTTCACTGTGTCTAAATGGTTACAAGCACGTTGAATGCTGGTAGAGGGGGTAAAGTTGCAATGGAGCATTATACTTTCCAATATGGAGTGGAAATACTTTTAAGCGCCGTCCACCGGCATTACGCCGTAGGAATTTGAAAACGCAACTTTCTTTCTCCGGATAGGCCTTCCGTCCACAATAGTCTGTCACCAAAACGGAGCTTTTCGAAAGTGCTTTTCAAACCGGAGGAATTTGAAAACGCCGGCTGTGCGTTTTCGTGTGGACAGATTACATTTCGAAAACGAAACTTTTCGAAAACGACGAGGTTCCGAGGATTGTTGCGTTTTCAAATTTTTTCGGTGGACGGAAAATATTTGATGTGTTTTCAGAGTGAAGCCTCCGTTTTCAAACTCCTCCGGCCTAGTGTGGACAGGGCCTTGGGTGTTGATTTTACATTTCGGGATAAGCTCCAGTAGTATACGGGACACTTGTTCCGATGAATATATTAATATATTAATATTTAACAATTAGACCCGTAGCCCGCAAGGGTTACGGGTCAATAGCCCATTCGGCTTCGCCTCATGGGCTATTGACCCGTGGCCCTTGAGGGCGAAGGGTCTAATTNCGCTACTCGATGACTATTACTAATAGTCCCCTAGTAGCGTAGCCAATTAAAATGCAGGATTTGCATTAGTCCACTAGTTGGGTGATACTAAATTAATATATTGATATATTATGCATATAGTATATATTAATCTGCAATCTAGGATTCTGCATCTTTAGAACACACAGAGAATAAAGAGCTCAGTAAATTTATTTCTTCCTTGCTGTGTTTTTATTTTGTTATGGCTAGGCTGTTCAAGTGTTTGCCTGCAGAGTGCAGCCTTTGGACAAAGAACTGGAATGGACAGATGAGGTACGTACACCAGTGAACCCGTTAGTGGGTTTGGACATGTTTGAACCATAGTCAGTCTCAGGGAAACTATTTGAGCAAGACAATTATTGCACCGAGGGAGAGGCAAGGAAAATAAGCAAACGTGTGGTTTTGATGCTCTGTTAAAGAAAAATAAAACAAGGAATGAAACATGTTTGTGTTGAGTTCATCTGGTGCATGAAAAAGATATGACAAGTTTAAGACTCTTAGTCATTATTTTAAAAACCTGTTAGTTACAGGTAATTAATGAAAACTGTTTTTCAGTAACTTTCTACGTTACATTAANTTTGTTTTAACAACTGAGGTCTTCAGCACTTAGTATGGGGATATGGCTGGGTGGGGAAGACATTTAAGCAGGCAGTTATTTCAGTTACTTTGTCTTGACATCGTACGAAAATGTCTTGACTTCTGTTGTTAATACAGACGTCATCCTTTGTTGCACACCTTATTGAAGGCAAGGAAATGGAAGGGAAAGTTGTTTTGAGGTGAGATAGATTGTATTAACGTTCGTGTTCTTTGCACAAGTATTATCTTTTTTAAGAAGAAAGAATTATATTCTTGTTCTTTGTGTTAATATCTCCTTTAAGAAGCAACCTTGTAGGCTTTTTTTTTGTTCCTTCAGTTTATTACTATTTATTATTGGTGTTTTGCTCGGCTCTATTAAAACCGAGCTTTCAAACCTTAGTTCAGGGTTCAAGGCAAATGGGCCATGGAAACGATCAAACTTGACATACATGTGCAATGTATATTTAGTTGTCATTCCATTTGTAAGTGCAATTGCAATTGTCTTGTGTATCAGACCCTGAAATGAACGGTGACTTATAGGAAAATGTTGCGTTGAGTAGAATGAAGTGCTACTTTGACGGCGATTGTAGAGATACTGCAACGACATTTTTCACTGGTTAGACATACACCAAGAAGCACTTGTCTTGTCACATCGCAACGTAATTACAATCCAAGTCGTACCAAACATAGCTTATTGCAACACCGCTTTTAGGTTAACAGTAAACCTTGCTGGATTTCGATAGCTACTTGAAAGTGAGCCCTGTTTACCCCGTTGCCGCTGTTAGAGAAGTTAGTCTGTTTTCTTGTCTCTGACGTTATCAGATCATTTTACCTTTTAGCTTAGGCAACACAATGTGGTTGGATCCTTTGGTTGAAAGGAAGTATTTGGAAAACATTAAGGTTACAACTAATGTCGTTAACATCAGACTGGAACTGCTAAAGGAAAAACGTGCTACTGAAAACAAGCAGGTGGGTGTATATTGTACTGAAAGGGCTATTTAGAACTTCAAAGGAGTCTTGGAAGTCTTTGGGTGCGCTGGAACAGTGCTGCAGTGCAGCAGATGTTTTCAGCTCCGAAGACGATTTCTGTTTTCTGTTTTTGTTTGGCAAAAATTATTTTCTGTGAGATAATTTTCGGTTAAAATGAAAATTTATATTATAATTAGCTTTCAGCTGCCAGCCAGCGGCCTTCGTCAAAGGCGCCGAAAGCTTGTTTCAATCTAAATTTACAACCAGAGAACGTTGAAATTGTTTTAATAAGAATTTTTCGTATTTAACACAGTCGAGTAGTCGCTTAAGCTTGAGACAGGCGCATTCTTTTGAATAAAAGAATTGTTGTGCTATTGACAGAGGTGGTAACTTTGTAGGGCTAGTCACTTGGAAGAGTTGGACCGTAACTATATGTGTAGTTTCTTATCTCTTTTTCTAGCATGTGCGCCTGCTCAGAAACCTTTGTGAAGGCGTGATTGACCTTCAACCCCTGGAAGGTGCAGCTAGCAGCAGCACTGGAGAGACAAGGTACATGTACCACGAAATCAACCTTGTCAGATATTGGTGTAATCAAACAGGAAGAAAAAGATTTCTTCAGTTGTCATCGACATCAAACGAGCTCAGAGTGCGCGAAGTTTGCATCACCTGCCTGCCATATAACCCGAAACTCTCGTGCACTCGTAAAAATTCACTGATGCACGAAAACACTGAAGTATTTGATTTCAAGAAAGAACTTGATAAATATCACGTACGTGAGACAGTGTTTCAAAGTTTAAAGTTCCAGAGTTGAAAACACAGCGACAGTGGATTGTTTTTGACTAGCTTTGAGTTCTTTGGAAATGTTATATGAAACACGAGAGCCGTGATTTACCTTTTTTTCTTTTCAACATCGAGAACCGACAAGAAGATAGCTGAAAATATGACGCGTAGCGGAGTATTTTTAACGATCTTTTAGATGTCTGAAAATGTGATGACACGTCTAGTCGAGTTGTTGATAAATATTCTCTATTGAAGTTAAAACGGAGTCATGAAATCATAAAGATCTATGTCAGTTGAGAGCACATATCGAAACACTTTCACGGGTATTATTTTGTTAATGAGTTTGCGAAGAGTGGTTAATTCTCGGGAGCCATTGGTCTCCTTTTTATTTAACGTTATCACTCTTATCTAGCGAGTACTCACGCCTTAATTGTTAACATTCTTTTTAGTGCTGAGAAGTCACCCGCACTGGAAACAGCTGTGTTGCCCGAGGATGGTTTCCAATCTGTTTATGTGTCTGCTGTGGAAAATCCAGAACTCTTCTTTGTCCAATTGAGATCATCAGAAGAGAGGTGAGTAACGGTTATGGAACTTACAGCCCATATACTATCGTGATTGGTTGAGAGCGGGCTAATTAATCATTCATTCTTAATTTGCACGGCACTGCAATGTCAGTTTAAAATTTGCAATTGCAGTTACATAACAATTTCAGTTTACAAACTTTAAAAGTATTTAGTATATGTTGAAGCCGTTTGTTCAGTCCAGGCTGGCTCTTTCTGTTTTTTGCGTGACCTTCTTTTTGATTAAAACCTTAAAGGGGCTCAGTCACGGTATTTTGAGTTATTTTGGCCACATACAAAATTACCTTTANGGATGGAGAAGATTGACACGGATTACAAACGACGAATTTGAAAAATTGAGGCTAAACTTTTCAATATGCGCAAACCGTGACTGAGCTCCTTTAAAATAGCAATATGTAATATATTCCTGTTATGGACCTCGTGCTAGTTCAATAATATCTACATGTTATATTTGTCTTGTTTATTTATAGCTTAGAGTATCTGAAACAGAAGATTAACTCTGAAGTTGGCAGAGTTGATTCGGAGGGAAGCGAAATCACCATTGGTTCTCTCTGTGTCGCAAAGTTTACAGAGGACGACATGTGAGTTCAATAGACAAACACGCTTTTGTATGCGGTGCAAATTGAGTTTTTTTTTTTGTCAATTTAAGTTTATATTCATCGCTAAATCATTATCTCAATCAAATGCTGTCGTTGTTTAGTCACAGTGCTACAAAGTTTCCTGTGTCGGCGGATCACATCGATCTCTCGACCATGCTGCTCCCTAAAAGACATCCAATTGATGAATTGCCCGGCCATGTTTTCAGTAGAAACGGCCGAAAGTCATTTGTATAACCGATAACTTTCCTCTACCAGGTGGTATCGAGCCCGTGTCTTGGGCAGCAGACCAGAAAACGAATATGATGTGTTTTATGTGGACTTTGGTGACAGAGAGTGGGTAACAACAGATAGGATTGTTCCTGCCTGGAAAAGCATTTTACAGCTGCCCCTCCAGGCTATTGAATGTTCTCTGGTCAACGTCGACCCTCTTGGTAAGTAATCGAAGGACTTAATGTAAAGAGAAAATTTGTCAAACACAGTACCATTGTCTTTAACCAGTGTAGTTAATATTTTACGAAGTCGTTCTAAACTTAGTTTAGTTTTTATCCTTATATTATGTTATTTAGACAGGACCCCTTTGATAACAGTACTCTTGCACTGAAGGGCTATCCTGTACAAATATTCGTTATTATTATTATTATTATTATTATTATTATTATTATTATTATTATTATTATTATTATTATTAACGCGCTCAAAATAGGAATGTACACAACGGCTGAGACTCCTCTCTCGCGTTTGCCGCCAATTTTCCACAAGAAACCCCAAATTATGCAGGTTATTGTACGTTTTGTAAGTGATATATCAGACACGAGAGACAATGTTTCACCACATCATCAAACACCGAGAAGAGAGACGAAACTACGACGTGGAGTGGAGTATTTTTGACTAGCTTCCAGGTATTTTGAATTGTGGTAAACCTTCTCGAGTTTTTGATATATCTTCCCAAGCGATGCTAAAACTAAGGAGAAAACGGAGAGAGGAAACTAAATAGTATGTGCAAATTAAGATCAGATATCCAATACCGTTGATTTCTCCAGTGTAATCTTGATTAGTTGTAAATGAGTTTGAGAAATCTATTTTATTAAATATTTCTTATTTGCTAATCATGGTAAATTTATGTCAACAGAGAACGAGTGGAGTGACGAGAGCAGTGATGCATTCTGGGAAATGGTGAATGATCAACTGCTTTTCGCCAAGGTAAAATCGAGATTCTGTTTTCCTTCGCATACTTAGTAGATGTTGTCATAGATTGCCAGGAGTCAGTTGTATGAACGTGAAGTGTAACATTTTTTCCTGTGTCTGTGTATCTGATTGTAAGATTTAGTAGACTGACCAGAGGTCACTCTTTGTGTTCAAGAACTTAGTTTAACTCGGACCAAGCAGAGTCACAAGGCCAGCTTAGGCAGCAGGTAGTTCATCTCAAGGTACCCCTCAGCAGCATTCTACCAGATTTCCCCAACAGTTTCCCGGTAGCCATTTATACTTCTCAGTGAAAGGAAGAATTGTGAGTCAGTAATGTGTCTTGTCCAAGAGCACATCGCGTGCTAAGCGCTTTCCATTCAACCAGAACTTCCGACAATCTCGAGATGGGGACAAATGGTACGCAAATTTCCGGTGAAAGTTTCCAGAAAATCCGAAAATTGTTGAATTTCCGAAAAGCGAACAATTCAACGTACAATTCTGGAAATTCCGGGAGGAAGATCAAATAGAACGGAAATTCATGGTGATTGTAAGGAATTTCCGAAAATTTGGGGAGACTTCGCAAGGTTGTCCTCTTTTCCGGAATTCCAGAAAATGCTGTTCCATTCGTCACTATACACTTCCGGAAATTCAAACCAGAATTTTCCATCGAATGGAAATTAAAGCGCCCGCTGACTCCAGCCAGCGTTAAACAACGATAACTTGATCTGGAAATCAGCGCGTTTGTGTCTCACACTGATTCTTTCTTAAGATATGGTAATAAAGCCCTGTTTCATGTCTCTATCTTATTTTGAACTTACCACCGTTGATTCCAGGTGAAATGTAAGAGCGCGTCTTTAGTCGCTGGATGTCACAGATTTGCCATCGAACTTTACAACACCAACACTGAACATGACGTCATACTCAGCCTCGAGATGGTGGCAACAGGGCACGCGCAGACATCTCCAGAAGGAATAAAGGTTCGTCATTGTGCTGAAGTGCGGTTTCAGAGGCTAACAGAAGAGTTAGCGTAAAACTTAGTCACTGGAGTGCTTTGGAATTTCTTTCACAGTCGCTCGTGGAGAAACCCTTAATTTGAAATGACTGCGTTACACTAAGTCTATTTAACTGCGTTTTACCACATACTCACTATGAGACACGATAAATTAATCCTATAGAACTAAATGGTAAACCATAGCTTCATTACAAAGAAATATTTCAATCGGGCGTTATAATTAAAGGGATAAACAAACGAGATTAACTTTGAAAACTGTTCAGCCTAACGGTTTTTCAAAAACCTATATCGCAATCCGTTTTAATCTTCTTCAATTTCTGTCCATCCTCACCTTTTTTGTATTTGCTGTGTTATTGAAATGTTCCTTCACTGTTTTAAGTTGTTAGTTTTATTTTTCCTATGGCTAAATTTAGCTAAAATCCTGACACATTCCCTTTAATCACGTTATCAGAATAGCGTTCGGAGGGCAACACTTAGTAAATTTGTTTGTTTGTTTTCTCTCAGGTGTTATTTCCGTATTCGACTCTGTCAAGCAAACAAGATGAACACGATGTAAGTACAGAGTACAACAGTGTAATGCGGGAAGGACGAGAGGGTGGAAAGATTGTAATTGTCAATAACCAACAAAATGGACGAGCAGTTTGTTGTTTAGATGACTTGTGTGTATAAGAAGTCAAAGTAGGATCTGTTCCCATCCAATCCACCAGTGAGCCAAATAAGTAGCTAGTGCTAAACAATTACATGTGTAACCTGTCTAACGGGCTGTCTATCCGACTGTCTGTGGCTGACTGACTGAGTGACTGCTTGTTGCTTGCTCTACCGACTGACCGCCGACCGACCGACCGAACGAACGAACGAACGAACGACTGATCGGTCAGTTGACTGACCGACCAATGGACCAACCAACCAATTAACCAACTGACCGATTGATTGACTGAGGGACCGACCGACTGACATTGCACGCTACCCCTAGAATTTTGTCAGGTTGTTGGCTCTGCAAGAGAGAACTTGGTGAAGAATCGAACAATTTAAAAGTTAGAAATGAATCCTTAGTACAAATACGTGTAGCTTCCGCAGACGGATTATACCGGTGGTTTAGACTGTCCGCGACGCAGGCTACCGACATCTTCGATGGTCTTGGGGACCAAGTGAGATGCCAGCTGCGAGGAGGGATGTATTTTATTCTTCGCGGTTATTTTCCAGTTGCAATTTTGGGCTTAGTGCAGTGTGTTCTTTTATTTGTTTTATGTTATAGTTCCCATACCAGAGGATACCAGATATGTGTCTTGAAGTCCATCAGTGTGGGGTAAGTAGGGGACAAAGATTAAGTTCTCATTAATTTTCAATAACATAAGTGTTTTTATTGTATGGCTGAACTGGTCCGCGATGAAAAGGACAATTCTGATTGGTTCTCTTAGCGGTCCGAACTTTGCATTACGGGCCGCCAAGATGGACCGCTCACGATATTAATTTCGGCGAATCGCTTTTTCAATTCATTGTACAAAATAAACATTTTTTTCGGGGGACAATTTCAGTTAAATATTTACAAAAAGCGACGTGAGAAACGTAGATCAGTGCTTACTTTTCGCGCGCACGATTGCCGAGAATGGGTCGCGGAAACACATTAAAATTTATCGGCAGAACAAAAAGAGCCATTATAATAAATACTCAATTTGCGGCTCGTTTCATAAACCTGCAAAAACAAAACAACGAGACCAACATTTCTCCAGTACGGACCGAACAAACTAGTTGAATAACGCATGTGTAACATTTTAGAAACTATAATTAGCGATAATAGTAATTTAATCTAACGACGATGATTACGTGGAGTATCGGAACGCGGTTCAGTTTTGCATTCTTAAATTCTCAGTAAAGCAGCAGTTTGTTAATTTTGTTTTTCTTCATTTTGGCGAGCAATCTCCTGCTTTGTTTTGTTTACGAATGTAAAGTTGAGACACGCAAAGTAGTGAAATAAGGCCGTTTAGACGTGCAGAAAACACCACGCATGTTTTTGTCAAATTCGGGACAGGAAACATCTGAGGTCTTCGCGTTGCCAGGATGAATTCAACTTTTGAACGTTTAAATCAAATTTAGTATTTGTGATTACAGCGTTTAAATATTTATGTTGAGATTTTTGTCTTACGTAATATTGTCCCTGTGAAGCCCCTTTGGAAATTTGACGGTTTAGCGGTTTAGTTTATTTATGTTTCCAGGTAGATCAATAAATTCATTGGTAACATTTATTTCATCGCAATTAGTGATTCCATCGCAGTAAGTGCAAGCTCTTCAAGCTTGTGAAGCCGTATAAGGAGGTCTATGGGCAGGCCTGTAGCGAAAACTTAAACTTAAAAAAGGTTAACGATGGATGATGATTCATCCGAAACGTGTTTTGTCATTTAATATAAGATTTGAATTTCAAATACATCGTGTGGTTTAAGCAAAAACTGTCAATTTACACAAAATCTCAAGCCCCTGGCTTTGGAGGCTATCAGAGACCTTTAGAGCTACGTTAACCGCAAACATCTAACTACAGTTTGAGGTTAGGCGTTTGACGTTTTTCGTTCGCCGTTCGGACGCTAGTCGATTTAGATCGAAGTAAATTGGAGCGAATAGAAATCAACTCCTCAATGCATTGGAAATTGTCAAAATTACGCCCACTGAGGAAAACAGGAAAGAAACAGTATGTTTTCTAGCACGTGCAGCTTTCTAAAGAAATACATCATCATAAAACATACATTCAACTTAAGCCGCTGCCATATTGGCACCTTTCTACAAACAACAATAAAAGGCTAGGCAATTACTTATTTGCCGAAAAATTATAACCAAATTGTAGAAAAAGGGTTACTTTATTCCATTTCGGCATTTGAACGTGGCATAAAATAAAATTCAAGGCAATAAAACTTTAGGTAAATGACTCGCGTGAAACCTCTTGACGTTCAAAAAGTGTGTCGAAAACCTGAAACATGACGTCTGGCTATGGTCATGTGACCCGTATTTGCGTTAACGTGGATCTAAAACAAAGTCTCTAATAATGCGTTAAAATTACCATAAAGCACTTACTGTGTGAGGGTGCAAGCCTTACTCATCAGAATTGCTATTGCTAAAAAGTAAACTTGCATTCAAAAGAAAAGCAAACATAACGACCAGTGGCTCAATTTAACAACTCTGAACTGATGTCTTGAGGGTTAACCCAAGCAACAAACATGGCCGAACCATCGAAGGAGATTTACGTTTCTGTTTCTCTTGGTATTCTCTCGGTCATTATCGTGGTGGCAAATTGTTCCGTTTGCGCTCTTGTTTGTTTTAACAAAACTCTACGAACCTACACAAACTGGTTAGTATTGTCACTCGCTGTATCGGACATTCTAACAGGAGGTGTTTTGCTGCCTATATTACTCATCAAGCCCACATCGCTTGTGACAGACTACTTCATTACCTTAATACTACTCTCTGGCGTCGCTAACATTTGCGCAGTGACTTACGATCGCTATGTTGCTATAATCAAGCCNGCCGATTTTGACAATGTGTGCTCTTGACAACGACCGCTTTATTGTGGGCAGTAAAAATTACGTTCTTCAAATGTAATTAAAGCAAAATTTAAAGCGTAAACTAGTCTCTTTTCTTTTCGTTGATCGTGGTTGATGAAAAGTCCGGGAATGGTTGTGTTCTCCATGGCTTGCAGACATCCTTATTTTTGCAAAGCTGCACCTGCTCCAGGCTCTATATTGTTATTTTATTGTTAAGTTTCGTGTGTTTTCCTAATCAAAGTGTGTTAATTTTCAGTTTAAAAGATGACTTAAGGGACTGTGGAGTTATCCAAGCGCTGTGCCGCCTGCTGAGTTTAAACAGAGACCCCTTGATTCTACAGCACGTCCTAGCAAGTCTCGCATCTTTATCATTCGAAAATGAAAGGTGAGCTTACTTTGAAAAGCCCGTATGCGGCTAGAGGAGGAGGCGGCGTGGCCGAGTGGTTAGGGCGCCGGACTTGAAATCCAGAGGTCGCGGGTTCAAGTCCCGCTTTGACCACTTAGCTGGAGTTGTTTCTCAGTAGACCGTTGTTCAAGTCCTGTTTGTATATAGCGAACAGGTCTGCCTCCTGCCAGTTGGGATCTTAAAGCCCATCATGTTTAGTTGTTATATTTGTTCTTTTCAGTTTAAGTGGTATTCTGGTGAACTAGCTAGGTGTAGCTAAGCGCATTCACCACTATAAACAACAGCATTTTAACACTTTTGTTTTTTGAATTTTGGAGATGACGTTAATTTTGTTTCTTCAAACAACACTTCATACTCACATTATAAGGTCGACTACAACAGTACAAAAAAATGTCTTTATCATTGTTTGTTTTCAGTAACTGCGATGAAGTTAGAAACCAAGGTGGACTTCAAATGATGTGCTATCTTTTAGGAAAGGTGCGACGACAAACATCTTAAATTTTCTGTTTGCCTTTTAGAATTTTCCAAATTGAATGATGTAACTTACCTTCCCGCTGTTTGGTTTGACATTTGTTCCTAGATTAGCGACAGCGCTGCTCAAGAAAGCTTAGCCTGGGCTTTGAAGAATCTTTCAGCTACAGAAAGGTGACTAGCATTAACCTATTTACTCATTCGCCAGGGAAAACGTGTTCTTTCCTAATAGGGCATTGCTTTCGTTAACTTTATCTTCTTGTCTTTGTAAAATTCGTTTAGTGCCTTGTAGGTTTATTGCAGAGCTATCTTTATCTGACGTTTCTTTTTATCCACCCTTGTTAAACTGTCGTACATAATAGTAATAATAAAGTCTAATAAACTCAACGTTCACTGTTACCCTCAAGACGACGTCATAGATTTAGCAATGTTGCCCGCTCAGAGACCATTGGCGTGAAACAATTTTATTGTAACTGTCATGTGACCTCGAAGTAACCAATAAGGGAGCGTGCTCTTGGGTAAATTTTACAATTTAAGATCGGACATTTTCTCATCTCTCATCTTTTCTGTTTTTGCTGTTCCTTTGCTTTCTCTTTCATTTCTTCGTTCTTCTATCAGATATTTGTATTCTTTCTCGTTCACTCGTTATTCTAAGCGTAGCTTATGATTCTCTAATAGGAATCAAAATGAGGCCAGGATTCGTGGCGGTATCAAGGCTTTGTGCGAACTTCTAAAGAACGCCTCTGATGAAAAAGTAAGTTGTATCTCTTTGATTTGACACGCGCAATTGCAGTTTGCTCGTGGACTAACCAATCCAGCAGGCACTGTTAGGACTAAACGGACTAGAATCGGAGAGCTTTCGGGTCCTACGAAGACTAAACGAACCACGATTGGAAAGCTTTCGGGTCGACCTTCGCGAACTACGTGGGCTAGTTGAACCATACTATGAGGACTAACCGAACCAGAAACGGAAAGCTGTCGGTGTTGTACGACTAACGAGAACTTACCGATCTTACGTCGGTAAGCCTTTGGGTACCACCAGGACTAACCTCGTTCTCAGAGTCTCTCCTCTGGGGACGAGGTTGCACGTGGACTATTTGAACTAGAATGGAAGAACTTAATACATGTACTCCGAAGACTAACCGAACCACAATCGGAAAGCCTTCGAGTTACACGAGGGCTAGTTGAAGCCTTCGACAAACAAGACTTTTTGGTGCTGTGATTTCAGGTCCTGGAGAGAGCAGCTTGGGCTGTTGGATCTCTTGCTCAGGACAATGACAGGTAAAGGAGTGTTGTAACTGTTGTATTTGCTTGAAAAGTTGGATCACAGTTTCTTGTCGTGTGTGTTGTTCAGTAGTGAAGCAGCTCTCCTAAGCTTGTAATTCTATTTGTCGTCATTGCAGCAGCTGTTATTGTGTTGGGGCTAGGGGGCATTGTTTCTGTTGTTTGTTCTTTTGTCCTTTCAAAGGGTTTCAAGCCATTCATGTGAGACCTTACGAGAGCTGCAGCATGGCGCGTGTTGTTTAGATTTAAAACGTAAGGAATAGTTTATTTCGATTATCAAAACAGAAATTATCTGTGCTCGTGCAAACTTTGCGTCTACAGCTCGTGCTTTGTAATAGTCGAGAGAAACACAGAACTACGGCTTTCTTACAGGTTGTTTTGAATTAAGAATTAGATTATTCGCTGTCGATTTCTGTGAGGTGATAGTTGATGAAGGCAAAGGCCGAATCAAGTATCACCTCGGAAATCGACAGCGAATAATTTAAATAATAGAAACACTCGTGAAGTTTGGAAGAACCCGGAAAAGCAGGGGAAACACTCGCCTATCGCTCGTGTTCCCACAGCATTTTTCTTTCTCTGAATGAATGAAAGACTTTATCAGTTTAAGTGTAATAAGTATTCAGTTAGCTTTAAAAAAAACTAATTGGGGACACTATTTCACTATCTCAAACTTACACTCGTGTTTATAACTCGATACAAAAACGGAGAACGTTTTCTATTTCTTAAGCATTAAACAACAGTGTAACTCTGTTTGTGTGATCACCGACGGGAGGTAGAAATCTTGATTGTAATTTGATTCTGAATCCCCGTTGATGGTCTGCAGTAGAACGAACACAACTCTTTCATCGAAATAAAGTATTTCATGTGTATGTTATACTATCATAAACAAACAAAGAATAATGTTTTCCCTACAGCAATTGCCAAGCCGTACAGGAATGTGGTGGCCTTAAGACTCTCTGTGAGCTGGTAACACAGACAGTCAACGAAAATGTTTTAGAACGTACGACGTGGACACTTGGAATGCTAGCTATTGACTTAAAGTGAGTGCAGGTTACTCCGTTGTTGTTGTTGTTGTTTGCGGGTGTTTTTTTTTTTTTGTCAACCACATTTTGTTGTTTTATAATGATGTCGCGCACATTCGACCTAGCTGACTTCCGTGCAGGCAGACGTCATGTTGCTTAGCAACGCTATTGCTATAAAGCGCGGACTCAATATTTGTTAACCTGTCGTAAGAGGGTGTAACTTAGCACAGAAAATCTTTTCATTGTAAAGAAATATTTTCGCCAATATTTCATTTGGAACATTCTTTACTTTTCTTCAGAAACCGCAATTTCATTCGTCAGTATGGAGGTATAGAGAACATTTGCAAGAAACTCCAGGAATCTCCATCACAGCAGGTAGGACCATGTAAAACTTTTATTTATGTGGCTCTATCAGAAACAGAAGTACATTGCTAGAGAGACAAAATTGTAAACCATGACTCTCCTATACTGTCGTGTTGTTTTTGTTTGTTGTTTTTTTTGTTTGTTTTTTTCCTATTCCAACCCTGTCCATTAGTGTCCCCCTCCTTCCCCGACTCTAGTTCCCCCTTTCTTTTCCTTCCTCCAAATCTCAGTGACCTTAGTAGAATTCATATTTTAGAAAGCAGGACACTCCAAGCATTTTAACGCACTTCATATTGTTTTAAATCAGGTCATAAAACAATGCGCTCTGACACTGAAGACTCTCGCTAGCAACAACCAGTACAACAGAGATATTATGATGAGACTTGGAATGATTGGAACACTACGGAGGTTAGTCGTGTGTACGTAGGTAGGTAAAGTGTGCATACGGGCCAGGTGGCTCATCAGGCCGGAGCTTATCCCGGTTTCTGTAGCATGAAGCGACTAAGGGTATTCCTACTCCCCCCTGGATGGGATGCTAGTCCATCGCAGGGTTACACCCAGCGTTAAGTGCGTCCGCACCCATTTATACGACTGGATGGAGAGAGGCACTGTGGGAGTACAGCATCTTGCCCAAGAACACAACGCAATGTCCTTGGCCAGGGCTCGAACGCAGACCGCTCGATCCGGAGACGAGCGCAATAACCATAAGGACACTGCGCCTCCGAGTAGTCATATGTACACTGTGGACATTTTCTTGTTTGCGTTTTCATTTTTTCTTTGCGCAGCTGAGATACTACTTTTTTATCTATTTAGTTTACAGATTTCGGGAAAAAGAAGTTTCTTTTCTCGAAAAACGCGGAAGACACATTTTTTATGCGTCTGTCTGCCGTTTTATTAGGAATGCGGAGTTTCTATGCTATCCTAGAATAACTGCGTGGATAATTTGTTATTTATGTTATCCGATAAGAAAGTAGTCTTACCTGAAGGTTGTTGGTTGGTTGGTTTGTTTGTTTGTTTGTTTTTTTGTTTGTTTGCTTTCATTGTCAAAACTTCCCCTAGTAAGTGTCGCAGGTGGCGCGAGGAGCTGATGTTCGCGCGCGAAGCGCAAGCGTCGTGTGAGTGTCATCCGCGCATGTCATGGTACGTGCGTGTTTACCTTCTTTCCGAACCTTTATAATGGGACAGCTGTCATAACTTACCCCATTACCTCTCTTGTTTTTCTAGCTTTATGACTGATGAAACGCAGCGTTTAGGTATCATCTCGCGCCGTGTATGCGGGGATTTATTACAACGGCTCCTTGGGTCAGCGGCCGGCAATTTTGAGAGCACCAATGCACAAGTTCCAACGCCTGTTAGTAGGACCCAGGGATGCTCGACCTCTCCTGGCAGCGACAAAAACCAAGATTCTGAAAATAGAGTGGTTAATGGCCTGGTAGATAATGAGGTTAATGGTGGTGGTGATGAGTTAGATGATCTACCGCCATTGGAAGGGGAGGACAGTGACAAAGAGAACGAGAACGCTGCGTCTGTGAATGCTTCGTCACCAGCCAGTGTATCTGCAAAAGCAGCTGCCAAAGATAATTTAAGGATTCAAAAAACTGCCGGTGCTTCAGCAAGACCGATAAATCACTCAAGGCCTTCTACTGTGGAAGACGCAAATGTAGTGCCATTTAGGTTGGTGTGTTTATATGAGTTTCTTTCCGACACTAACTTGGATATTCCTCACTAAATGAATGTTCGTTTCTTTTCCTCGGTATAAAGCTTACATCCAAAAACAGTTTGGTCACAAACAAGGGAACTGGTGCGAGTTTGTGTGAAGCTGCGCGGTGTGGAGAGACAGCAGACCGAGATTACTGCTCGCAGGCTCTTATTTAGGTTAGTTTGGCTTATTTCCTTATTAACTCGCCAATTTCACGTCAAGTGTCAGGCATATAACGTTACAAAGTTTCCCGTTTTGCCCATCGAAGTTGCGAAAACTTTTATGATGGTATTTTCTCGTTCATCAGAAGATAGGTCTTGAAACTCATCAGTATAAACGAGATGGACGGCTCTGTTTGTTTGTTGTCTTTTTTCCTTAAGCTCAATACACCTTATTCCAAAATGGCCGCCATTTTAGTATTCTTTTGTTTACTTGCAAATTAGCCCTTGTTGCCTCGTTCTTAAACTCGAAATTCAAAAGAATATTTTCCCTTAAACGAGGCAACAAGGGCTAATTTGCACGTAAACAAAAGAATACTAAAATTGAGGCCATTTTGGAATAAGGTGTATGTACACACAGTGGCACAGATATTATCACGTGGACGGCTTAAGCGGCTTTGCACAGACGTGTACGTACGTACATTTTCATTTTTCATGGAAACTTCCACGCGCGGGATCATGCGCGGTAACATCTGCGGGAGAACTGGGTACGATCTCTTAAAATAGCTTTTTCCTTTCTTACTTGGCCATAATATTGTCGTGTTTTACTAGAACACAGATGGGGAGCTCACTGTACGAACTCGACTTGGAATTGTTTGAAGACATCGATTCTGAGGTGAGAAATTATTTTATCGTTGGTACACCGACTGATATATTTATTTCCACTGTTCTCGCGTTGCTCCGTGGGTTTTTCTCAGGGGTCTCAGATTTTCTTCCCTCCACAAAAACCAACACTTCTAAATTCCAGTTCGATCTGGAAACAAAGGACGAAGAGCCTCTCCGTGGGATGTGCCACTGCAAATTCCTATCCATTCTATTTCAATTTATTTTATTATTAATTTTCATTTATTTGACCATTGCAGCGTAGCGTGGTGGTGGTGAAAGGCGCCGAGGTGCAAATTTTGCTCAAGAAGAGAAACCATGCGGTGTGGACGCGGCTACTGAGGAGTAAAGAAAAGGTAAGGAAATACGGGCGTAAAAACCCGTTAAAAAAAAGTCTCTCCGTGTTCAATTCGTGCTCTGCAAGGGAAAAGTCTGGGATTTGACCCCATGGCTTTACTGAGATTTGTGTAAAATCATGGCTGGTTTTCACTCGTACACGAAAGTTCAAATCCAATCAACGAGTAACATACTACACGAATCTCTGTGATCAGGCGCGTTCTTCGAGCGGGAGATGAATCGCAATAAAGATGTTTGTTTGCTCAAGCTACTTTCTCAAGCTTTTTTTCCACGAATCCACCGTCTGACATAAATGCGGTGAACCTATCGCCAGAAATAAATAAGTAATGGTAATAGGACTGAATGGAGTCCAATTCGATCTGTTATCATAAAAGTGATAACAAAATCGGACGACCGCACAGCGGGGGTCCGATTTGTTTATCACGAGTATGATTACAGACCGAATTGGACGACACGAAGTCTTATTGGTAACTTTGATTACCTCGAGCTTCTAGGGGGACAAAATCATAAACTTCTCGTGCTTCACCATTAACGTGTTGTTTTTGCGCCTCAGTTGCCGTATGTCTCAATTGACTTTGATCGGTGGGAGGTTTGGTCCTCATCCGAAGAAGACGAAGGCGACGACAATACGAACGCTCGAGTAGAGCCCTCAAACCCGAGTAATTCCCGACGGGATTCCGATGATAGAGGACGGAGCAAGCAGGTGTTATTGCCAGAAATGCTTGTTAGCGATTCTGACTCTGATGAAGAAAGCGTGGCGTCGGATATAGACTGTTTGGACTTCCGCTGACGGAATGGCATCGTGAATAGCCATTTTGGTGTTTCCTTAGGATGCCCAAGCAATTGCGTGCAGAAAAGTAACAGCCGTGGTACTAGTGACTATATAAAAGAAAGGAAATCAAGAATTTTAGAAAACAAAGTTCGCCCTCCTTGTCCCATAGCCAGATGTGAATAAGAGAGTGCGCTTGGGAGACGGGGAAGTTTGCATGAACCAGAGGAGTAATTTCTCTTAAAATGTCATCTCTTGTTTGCATCAGACTTAGTAAACACGAAGCGATAATTTTGTATTCTATTTTTATAGAAATATGTCTGAAGTAAAGCTAAGAAATATGACACCAAGTCATCCATTTTATTTAGCTTCATATAAACCAACCGAGTGGTTAAACAAAGCAAATTACAAAACGGCCTCTTAGTTTTGCAAACTGGAATTAATTAAGTATTGTTTTGTTTTCCTGGACAGGAAGTGTTCCTCGTTTTACACTGTTCGTTGTTCTCTCGCGGTTTTCACATTTTATATCCTCGAGTCTCCAGTTTTTGTATTGTTATGCAAATGTACTGAAGAAAATTTAATTGATCATTAATTATAAAACGTAAATTCAGCAGAATGGAGTTAAGTTTTGTTAACGTGATCATGAACATTCTTCTTGATATTTAATTTTGTATATTGATTCTACAGTGTACTAATAAAGAAGTAAACTTAGTTGATTATAATCACTTTACAGTCGTGAATTCCAAAGAAAATTCAAGGAAGTAAAATCAGTCAAAGTCTTCATAGACTGCTGGCAATCTGTTTTGCTCTCGAAATTCAGCAGGGATTAAGAGACAAGACGCTTTAGCCTAAAGGGGAATGGGACGAGACATGGCGCGGCACGCACGAAATGAAAAATAACTCGCCTTCTCTCCCTAGCCATACAGCCCGTCTCGCCTTCGTCCCCACTCGGCCACGGCCATACCACCCTTTTGCGTTCGCGATGACGAAACACTCGTCTAAGTGACCTTTAGCGAAAAAAACCGACTGTCAGCAGTCCAAAGTCTTCAAGGATTCAATGGCATTCAAACCCATAAACTCGCGATACGTTCAGGGACGCATCGTTTCATCTGTCATGAAGCGTTTACTGGATTGAGACTTGAAACAGCGTACAATAAAATGCTCCGTAGAATTTGGTTGTAATTTCTCAAACTTGAATTAAGTTAAACGGGCTTGGATCGTTTCAAGCTAAGCGAGGTAAACAGAGCGGTTATCAGCTGATTATTTGTCACCCTCGGAGTTGGAATTTCCAGAACATTTCCTCAGCACCTCAACACATTCACTGACATTTGACAAGTTTAATGATGCCGTCCCTAATCTGGGAGTTTCCCCTGTAATACAACACGGCGTTTATACCAGAGCAAAGAGTAGCGATTGGGAAGAACAATGGCTCCACAAATATGTGGAAATTCCATGACAGAATCTGTGATAAACCCACTAAAAACCCCATAGGGAGGATAATCAGAGCCAGAAAACTAACCACGTGACGAGTAGTGACTGCCAGCTGGCGCTCGACTGTGTTATGACGGGTAACAGCATTTACTCGAGCGCTTTCTTCCATTGCGTGCGCCACCGCATTGTTGTGCTTGCGAAGGGCCACTAGAGTTGTCAACTGGACAACTATAATCGCACAGGACGAGACGACAACATAACACGCTTCAAAGACCTCGAGCGCTCTGAGAGGAAACAAGTGCACTTGCCTCAACACCACCATTGCAGTTGAAGTCAGCCACACCGCGCAGGACGCGCAGATTGCATGCTGTTTCGTCACGGTGGTTTTGTACCACATGGGTTTAGCGACAGCTAAGTAGCGATCCCCGCTCATCACGGCAAGATTACCCAGCGTAGAAAACAAGCACAAAAAGAAAGACGTTACCATGAGAGGTGAATCCCAATCGCTGCGATTTGAACACACCTTGCCATTCAGCAACTCTGCGACCCTGAATCTTACATACACAGGCGTTACCAGCCCTCCCCACAGAACATCCGTCAGGGTCAAACCACACAGCAACAGAAACCCTGGCCTGATTCGAAGTCCACCCCGGAGAATGGCAATCAGGATAAGCCCGTTTGACAGGAAGCACCAGAGACCTAGCAGAGTGGTGACCGGTGTGAGCAAGAAGTTAGAGTAGTAAAAGAAGTGTAGCTGAACAGTTTGTGCAATTCCTGGTAAAAAACACGGTCGCCCCGTCTGCTCTTCTGCCAAGTCCGCCGGCAAAACGACCTGCGTGATATTCGAAGTCAAGTTTGATTCCATATTCACGCTCTGCAAACAAAGGGAAAAAAGCTTAAAATTTTAATTCTCCTTACAGCTCGCCACACAAATATCTTAATGTTACTTCTGAGAACTTGGCGGTACATCAAGACCATACTCTCTATGGATGACTTTCAGTTTGTNAGTACAATATAAAATGACCATGGTAACGAATGCAGAT